AATTTTCCTCACGCCTCTTGCCGGCATGAAAGGTTTTCATGCAGTTGATCGAGCCTTCTAGAGTTTTCTTCAATTCTCGCAACATTAGTCTCGTTTATCAAGTTCTCGACCGACTTCATCGTTGATCACACCTCCTTCCGAGTAACTTACGAGCGTAGGTGGTTTGCGTCCGTACACAAGCTCGAATGGCGTAGTCTTGGTCGAGCCGTGGTAAGTGGTGTCGTACCAATATTCAGCCCATGGTAGAAAATTCTCCCACGTCTTCAGAAATTGATGCACGTAGCACCGTAAGTATTGCTCAGCGTGCGGTTGGTCACCTCGGTTTGCCCATCTGTCTGTGGGTGGTAGGCTGAACTTATCGATAGCTTGGTCCCCTGCAGCTTGAAGAACTCAGAGCAAAAAGCTACTCATAAAGATCCGGTCACGATCGAAGACAATCGAGCGTGGCACCCCGTGCAACTTCATAACATACTCGATAAATAGCTTGGCGATGGATTTCGCCATGTTAGGATGCGTAATGGGTATGAAGTGTGCATACTTCGTAAGTCGATCTACCACGACCATGACTCTGTTGAATCCATTAGAGATCGGCAGTCCTTCAATAAAGTCCATAGTGATGTCCTCCCAGATTCTCTCGGGCACCGACAAGGGTTGTAGTAGTCCACCCGATCACCGTGCGTCGGCCATAGTGCGCTGGCACTCGTCGCATCGCCCGACATACTCTCGGACCGCGCCTTGCTTCCCTGGCCAAAAGAAGGTATTGGCCATCCTCATCCATGTACAGTAGAAGCCCGAGTGCGCTTCAGTTTTAGAGTTGTGGAAGTGCTGCATAATCCTCTCGTAGAGTTCCCCACTGTTAGGCACATACACCCGGCCTCGGTGGAGTAATAGGCCGTTGTGCTGCTTATAGTCGATAGCGGTGGCATCGCCTGCCTCAATCGCTTGGCGCAAATCTCGGCATTGGGGGTCATCCTCTTGCGCCTTCCTGACTTCTTCCCATACGGCCCACGTCGGCCCTGTTATGGCCTCTAGCTCAGCGACATCCATTCGCCTCGACAGTGCGTCAGCCACGGCATTTTATCAGCCTGGTCGGTACACTATCTCAAAGTCGAAACCCATGAGCTTCGAGACAAACTGTTGCTGTTCGGGCATCACAATCCTTTGCTCGAGCAAGTGCTTGAGAGGTTGTTGATAGGTCACGATCCGAAAACGCCGCCCCAATAGATAGGGCCTTCAGCATCACACAGCCTCTACGACCACGAGCATCTCCTTCACGTACACTGACAGCCCCAGTCGGGTCGTGCCTAGTGCCTTGCTGAGAAAGGCCAAGGGATGTCCCTCCTGTACTAGCACCGTACCAATCCCTATGTCCGCTTCCGTCCGTGTGTACCTCGAACAAAACATCGAACCTCGGCATTGCTAGCACAGGCGTCATGGTAATTGCGCCCTTAAGCTTCTAGAATGCGATCTCGCTAGCTTCGGTCCACTTGAATCCTCCTTTCTTGGTCATCTCAGTTAATGGTTTGGCAATGGTCCCATAGTCCTTCACGAACTTCCGATAGTAGCCCGTGAGCCCTAGGAATCCATGTAACTGCGTTAGGCTTGTCGGTTTAGGCCAGTCGACCATAGCTTCAATTTTTCTTGGGTCGACTTTCACACCATCATGAGAAATAAGGTGACCAAGATACTCGACCATCTCTTGTCCAAACGCGCACTTGGATGGCTTGATGTGGAATGAGTTGGCTTCCAAGATCTCGAGTACCACACGTAAGTGCCCAATATGCTCGGCCCATGTCTTGGAGTAGACCAAGATGTTGTCAAAGAATACTAAGACGAACTTGCGCAGATGGTTCTTGAAGATGGAATTCATGGCAAACAGAAAAGTGGATGGGGCGTTGCATAGCCCAAACGGCATAACCAAATACTCGTAGTGCCCTTGGTGCATACGAAAGGCCGTCTTTGGAATATCAGCCTTGTGTAGCCGGATTTGATGGTACCCAACCCTAAGGTCGAGTTTAGAGAAGTAGCGTGACCCTCCTAACTCATCGAGCATGTCATCGACACTTGGTATGGGAAAGCGATCCTTGATTGTTGCGGCATTAAATGCTCGATAGTCGGTGCAGAACCTCCACGTGCCATCTTTCTTCTTGGCTAGAAACACTGGTGATGAGAACGGACTTGAGCTGTGCTGAATGATCCCAGACTTAAGCATCTCACCAACTTGCCTTTCTATCTCCGTCTTCTGAAAATGTGCGTACCGGTACGGATAGACGTGCACGGCAAGCTGTTCATTGACCAAGGGTATGCGGTGGTCGAACTCCCGGTGTGGTGGTAGACCCTTAGGCTCGCCCAGCACACATTCGAACTCCTCGAGTAGCCTGCGCACCTCGCCCTGCTGCCGGTCGGCCTCGGCTATGGGTGTGCTCGCGTTCTCGACCACAAGTGCAAAGATTTGGCCGCCTCCGCACCAAACCCGCTATATGCTCTTGAGACCAACCTTCTTGGTCCCACCGTTCTCATTAGCCTTCAACGTGACTTGTTGCTCTCCTGATTTGAACTTCATGACCCCGGTTCGGTAATTGGTGGTCACTTTTTCAAATCCTTCGAGCCATTGGACTCCCAACACAACGTCGGGTCCAACCAAGGGTAGCGCGTAGAGATCGGCCTTGATGGTGACTCCTTGGAACTTGATAGGCACCTTGCGATAAGACTCGGTGCACTTAAGCCGTTCACCATTAGCTACCCGGACCTCGATTGGCTCTATCGTCATCGTGGGTAATTTTAGCTTTTGGGATAGCGTGGTGTTGATGAAGTTGTGTGACGACCCATTATCCACGAGTACGACCACTCGGCGATCCTTGACCCATGCCAGTAGCCGCATCATCCTCGGGCCTCGAGTACCCGCCATTGCGTGCATCGAGATTTCAGCTTCTTCCTCGAGCACCTCAACCTCGACTTCGCCTTCTTCTATCTCGGGTTCCTCTTCTTCTGAGTCGATGACGTCGATCAGGAACACTTGCTTACATCGATGGCCCGGTGTGAATTTCTCTTCGTACTTAAAACACAGGCCTTGCTCACGTCGGCGCCTCATCTCTTCGAGCAACAAACGCTTGACTTCCGGGTTTGGTTGTCGCATATTTCTTGGTGGCCGGATGCTCGGTACGATGTTGGTGGTGCGTCGCGGCTCAGGAAAACGCGCGTCCGCCCGTCCTCTTCGAGTAGCGGCGAGGTGATTGTCGCGGCGTCGGGAGACCTCTATGGCCGCATGCATTGTGTCGGGCTGCTCCAATCGAACCTCCGCGGCTAGGTCATGCTTGAGGCCGCCGATAAATGCTCTGACCAGTGCGGTCTCAGGCCAGCCCCTTACGCGGCACGCTAGCCTTTTGAACTCCTTCAGGTAATCGCGCAGACTGCCAGACTGACAGATACGCGAGAGCGCCTCGTCATAATTGTGGTAGTTGGATGTCCCGAAACGCGTGAACAACTCGCGTTCGAAATCACCCCACCTGATGGCCCGCTGCCGGTTGCGGTAAACGCTCGTGAGCCATTGCCACCATACGTTGGCCTCGCCGTCTTGGTAATAGTCCGTATATCGAACACGGTCATTGGCCTCAGTCTCGTTGAGCTCAAAGTATTGCACGGCACGGTTGAGCAATGCCTCGGGATCGGTGCTGGTGAAGGTGGACAACGTGAGCCTCGGTTTGTCGAGTCTCGGGCGATCATGAAAATTGGATGCTTGTGACCGTTGCTCGAAGTCCTCCTCGTGCTTTGTCTCATCGTGCCGATGTTCCTCTTCCTCGGGTCACTCGCGCCTTGGCTGACGCAGTGGTGGCCGCGCATGGTGTTGGAAGCCGCGCGCCATCTCGTTGAACCTTCGGTTTACGGTCTCCATTAAGTCACGAACCGATGCCTTGGTCGTGTCGAGCCCCTCCCCTAGGGTGTCCATGGTTTCGCTCATGCTTCGGACTTGAACGTCTAGATTGTCGATCTTGTCCTTCATCTCCTTGTTGGCCATGGCTTTCTTTTCTTCCTTTCGCTCTTTGCTTCGAGGACTCATTTTGAAGTTTTTTTTTTTTTTTTTTTTTTTGGATTTTTTTTTTTAATTTCGAACGAAAAATAAAAGGGGGAAAAGAAAGGGAATAGGAAAGGAAAAGACACACGATCTAGATACTCTCAATGAAAGCACCAACGATGAAGATCGCGTGTCCCGATTGCCGATAAGCCACACACTCGTGCCTTGAACCGACGATAGGTGTCTCGGAGGTTCACACACCCACGCCCCTCGAAACGAATAAAATTGCGAAAGAAATCTAAGGCAAAGTGTTTGAACAAAAGTTCAGTTTTTTATTATGATATTCAATAAATAAAAATAACAAGAGGAAGAGCCTTTATATAGGCATCAAATAGATCTAGTCCTAATCTAGCTATAACTCTAATAAAGCAAAAAAATATTAAGTGTCCTAAACAATCTAGAAATCTTATGAAAAGAGGAAAACTAAAAATCTAGAGAATCTTAAGTGATCTTGTCTTGCACTCCAAGTAAAGAACCCTAGTAGCCTTCATACTCGCCGTCTCGGACCCCCGTTGCAACACCCCGCTAACTAGGGCCAATTTTTCGCAAATTTAAACTCTTTCGAAATCAAATAATATAATAGAAATAGAATTCTAGTAAATGTCGAGCCAAGAGCATCCTCATTCCTAGAGAACTGGAAAAATGGTGGAAAGATAGACTTCCATTTCTTCAGTTCGGTCTTACCGACGGATGTAGGACCCTTTTCGACGGCTAGAAGGACCACGCTACGATCCATATACTCCTAGGCTTTAAGGCTTTACCAAACATGGGATCTGAAGACTGAGGTCACTTCTTACGTGATTGACGGTGACACCTCCCTTTGTCCGCTCCTTAAGCAAGATTCCCCATAAAGAAAAGGATTCATTTACTATATTCATTATGGATGAATCAATTAGTATTGATGCTTTATTACACTGTCTTTTATCAGATGACTCATAGACTAACCAATTTTCTCATTTACGATCAAGACCCCTTGGAGTTTTTCTTGAACGAATCTACTTCTATGGAAAAATCGAACGTCTTTCAAACTTGGGATTTGCAAGCCTCGGTAAGCCCGGCTCCGGACCATGGGATCCTTTCCTATCAGATAGGAAGGGCTGTAGCACAACATGTATTTCTAAGTAATTACCCCTATTTCACTTACTTATAACTTATACTAGATCTTACGGAGCCTGCTCGTGTACAAAGACGATTCGGTCCCAGCCGGCTACTCGTGCTCCTGCGAATGCTCATGCTACTCATGAAGTTAAAGAGGGTATTTATGCTCGTCGTGTCCTTTATATGGACATCAGAGGCCGCGGGTCTATTCCGTTGACCCGTACGGACGAGAATTTGACTCCTCATAAGGTGCCAGCGGAGTCCTAAAAGCAACATCCGCTGATCCCTGGTCGGCATCGTTTATGGTTGAGACTAGGACGGTATCTGATCGTCTTCGAGCCCCCAACTTTCGTTCTTGATTAATGAAAACATCCTTGGCAAATGCTTTCGCAGTTGTTCGTCTTTCATAAATCTCGAAGGATGAGGGGCAAGGGGATTGATCGAGAAAGATCTCTTGTTCTTATTATAGGATCGTGGTTGGATCCGCATATGTTTGGTAAAGAGAATAATCTTCTCCTTTGAGAATAATCAAAAATGGAAAGTGTTCAGTTGGAACACGAAAACATGACGAAATTAGAGTAATGCCATGGTAAGGCGTAAGTCATCGGTTCAAATCCGATAAGGGGCTTTTCCTTTTTTTCATAAAAGCCCAGCCCTAGCATTCAGAAAATAGAGATATTTTGTTTTTAGAATTTTTGAAATACAAAAGCCGTAGATGACTGGGTTCTATGTCAATTAAAGGGCCAAGGGGAGATTACAAAATTTTCTCCAAGTCCTGTAATTTCTTGGATCTTTAAAAAGACGACTTTCTAACTTTCAGTATGAAAAATGTTATTGGTTGTGAATTATTTAAAGACGAATTCTTTGCTTAATATAGATGTGTATTCTATATCCCGCACGTGCTCTGGTATTGCAGAATATTTAATAAACCCAGTTTCACGAACTCTCATAGAGAGTCGCAGAGACGTCAGTCCAAGATTTCGAAACACCGGCCCCCATGTCCAGCAGTAGCCCTATGAGGCTTAAGCCAAGTAGCGTAGACTTATATGCACAAAAAACGGGTCTATCCAGCGATGATATTTTAAAAGAGATGCAAAAAGATACTTTTATGACAGCAACAGAAGCCAAAATGAAAGGACATCTTCAAAATTGTAACCTTCCCACGGCATATAAGCCACTAATACGTTTTTCCCCAACGCAAGTTCGCCACCGACCGTAGCAGCACCATCTTAAAATTTGTCCCCTTTTAATGTATTTATCCCGCTGAACCTGGGGTTTTTGCATTTTTTACCATAAAAAAACCCCTTCCCTTTTTACATTACAGATATGGATTTTATCAGTAGCGGGTATAGTTTAGTGGTAAAAGTGTGATTCGTTCTTCGGAAAGAAAAAAAGTCAATTTGGGGTATTCTCTCAATTCCAATAAAAACGAAATCGTATCAAGTATGAGTTGGCGATCAGAACATATCTGGATAGAACTTCACCTCTTTCTTTGAGCTTCTATTGAATCGAGAAAGAAAATAGGCTTGATTGACCATCTTTATTCGCCGAGTCAGGCAAAAGCTAGCACAGCACTGAACTTAAGACAGCGAGAGACAGAGCAGCTAACTTGATTTTTGAATCTAAAATCTAATTCATTGTCGTTTTACAATTACACCACTTTAATTTTATTAAATTTTACTTTTTCTATTTATATTAGATAACTCTTCTATAGAGTTCAGTAATATCCGAGCTCATAAATTTACCCTCATCTATCTGAATCGCGGGTCTTAACTCAGGAGGAAGAACTGGTAATAGACACAAAACCATCCATTCTGGTTCTATATTTGTTCGAAGAAAATGTATAGCCCTAGATAAATAAAAAAATGAAAGTTGGAAATACAAAATTGCCTAATTTTCATTTCTTCATCCAGGCCCCCTGGGGCGAAAGGTTTCGAACCTTCGACTGTACGGGACCAAAGCCCGCCGCCTTACCACTCGGCCACGCCCCAAGTTTGGGTAGAGCCGGATCCAAGCGTTGGCTAGGTAAGCGTCCTGGGACGAGGAAGGGCGTAGTAATCGACGAAATGCTTCGGGGAGTTGAAAATAAGCATAGATCCGGAGATTCCCGAATAGGGCAACCTTTCGAACTGCTGCTGAATCCATGGGCAGGCAAGAGATAACCTGGCGAACTGGGAATTCAATTTGACGAAAATAGTTTCATTAGCCCCCGAGATATTATAAAATAAAATGAGATCATGATATCTTTGAGTGAAAGAAATCGATTAAGAACTAGATTAATTCGTAGATTGTGTCTTATGCCAACAAAAAGAAATGGTTAATGATACAATCAACCAATGAATCTTAGCAGCAGGCTAGACTTATACTAAAGTGCAGGTACGGTCGGTCAATCAACTGACTGATCTTTGAGAGAGGATCCAACCTGTACCGCGGGCTTTACGCAATCGATCGGATTAGATAGATATCCCTTCAACACAACATAGGTTAACGAAAGGATCTCGGAGACCTACCAATCTGGTACAGAAGTTCCTATAAAAATGGGAAATGCCCTACCTTTGAGTGCGGTTTGAACTATTGATTTACGTAATTGGAAGTAACCAATTAGGTTTACGACGAAGTTCTTTTTTTAGATTCATCTGTAATTCTTTGATTGCTCGTGGTTTATTTTCGAGTAATAACCGATCACAAGAATACCTGTTACAGTACCTATTATCCAAAGAGGAATCCTTCCAGTAGTATCGGCCATTTACTCCACTTCCCTCCAATTTCATCAAGTGGTCATGCTAGAGACATAAACAGTCGTGGATAATTATGAGATCCTTCCGAATGGGCTAAGAAAATGTCTAGAATTCTTATTTCTTTTCATTCGTTTTCCTAATTGAAGAAATAATTGGAAAATAAAACAGCAAGTACAAAAATGAGGTATCAGAGAAAAAAGAATGAACCGATTTTTTAGGATTCCCAAGAAATTCTTCGATTTCTTCCGTTTGACGAAAGGAAGGATCCAAAAGAAACGATCTTCATACGGCGAGAGTCATTGGTTCAAATCCAATAGTAGGTAGAATTTATTAGATACCAGCGCCTGCGGTATCTAATAAGTTTTTTGTCTCACCGCTCAAATAATAAGAAATAGAAATCAAATAATATAATATATAATAGAAATTAAATAAATAATAAGAAAGCATAGTTTATCTTAAAAAAGCAGAGTTTAGTTTTCATTCCCTTTGAAAAAATGAGTCGATAAACTACTGTGGATGTCTATTTGCCGGGTAATTGCGAAAAATTTTGTACGTTTACTCCTATTTCAACCTTCCACAGTAGTTTATCGACTCCCCGAATAGTACTATAAGAATCGGTTATAAATTTTTCGAAATCATTTGCAAACTATCTCGGGATGCTGCTAAGGACTTTTCTGCTTAAAAACCCGTTTCTTTAACCTAGGTCTAACAACTGGTTTAGACTTAAAGAATTCAGGTTTATATTTTTACGAATCATGCATATTAGTTTGGACCCGTTCGTACTGGCGAACTGGGTAAAATTATTTAAGTCTGAAAATGGCATCATGCATGTTCGAAAATAAACACAAGCATAGCGGAAGTCTGAAATGCGTTGAATTATTTAGTTTACAAACAGTTTAAACAAATGTCCCGGGAACAGCTTTCGTGCGAAACTCACGACCACCACCACCACAGCTTGACTCACGCCTGCCCGCCAATCCTGCCATCTGAAAATATAAAGTGGGGGTGAGTACGGTCCACTTGTACTCCATAAAAACCCATTCTAAAGTAAACAGCAATATTAATAATGATATCACAAACTGGTATATATAAGTAAACTGTAACTCCCGGAACTCTCTGGCCGGTAACTCCCAGAACACTCTGGCCGGTAACTGTGTGCACACTCTGATGGTATAACTAGGGCAAACTGGGCCACCACTAGAACTTAGGGAAGGCAAACTTGGCCTTAACCCAAAGTGGATAAAACTCATATACATACCTGAACGTGATATCGACTATTAAACTCAATGTATAACCCAGACTGGGTCTGATCGGTTTTGAAAATGAGTAAGTGCGGCTGTGCTGGTAGCTGACTCCTCAAGCTACATAAAAATATAAGCAAACAAATATACTAAGTACTATGCTCGTCATACGCTCAAAAATATGCTAGGATGCTCTATTCTATCAGATTACTCATCCGGATATAAAGGAACGCTTTAAGGGTTCACAGAAATAATTCTAAGTCCGGAAATGATACTGATATGCTTAACTGATCTGGTTTGGCTCGGAAAAATACTTAAATTTTGGAATAAGACTCGGACCGAAAATCACGAACCAAAACAGACTCGAACCGCCGGCTAAACCGGCCGGTTCGCTAACTGGCTGAACCGGGTCGGGCTGGACCGGACCCGGTTGGACCACCGGGTCACACTGGACCGGTTGGTCACGGGCTGCTCGGACTGGCCGGGCTCGATCCCGTGCCGGGCCTGCTGGGGCCATGGCACGGCGCTGGGCACTAGCTGGGTGCGACCGGGCACGGTACTAGGCGCTGCTGGGCGCGGGCTGTGCGGCTGGCACGGGCCCTGGCACGACTGGTGCCACTAGGTGCGGCTGGGCACGACCGAGAGTCACTGGGTGTGCTGGCGTGCTGCTGGGCACGGTCGAGCACGAGGGACGCGGGAACTGGCGCGTACCCGGGTTGACTGGGCACTGGGCGTGCGGCTGGCACGACCCGAGTGCGACTGGCGCGAGAACGGACGTGGCCAGACACTACTCGCGCGGCTCGGGCGCGGCTAGGGCTGTCAGGGTGCTACCGGGCGACCCTGGGCACGCGGGCATGCTGCTGGGCACGTCCCGGGCTAACTGACTACTCGGGCGTGCTGCTGGGCACGTCCCGAGGCCTCTGGACCTGACTCGGGGTCACTACAGCACGGCACTGGACACTCGGGTGCGCTGCTGGCACGACCCGAGGTCGACTCCGCGTGGTACGAGCGACTGGCTCGGGATCACGCGTGCATGACACTGGGACAGCGCTGCCGGGCGCTGTCGGAGGTGCTCTGGCGCGACTGGCGCTGAGACCTCGCGGGCTGGCACGGACAGGCGCGGCTGGGCGCTGTCACGTGCACTGGGGACTGCGGTGCCTCGCGAGCGCTAGGCGCGGGCACGGACAGGGGCACTGCCTGGCCCCTGCGACGCGGCACGGGCACGGCACGCGCGACTGGCGCGGCTGGTGACCCTAGCCGGTCCTTTGCCAAACTTCCGGCAACTTTGCCGGGGACTACTGAACCAAATCAACCTAATATGACATAAAATGCTCAAAAATGCCAAAAGTCACTGAGGGACCTCGGTTGGATTTGGTGGTGGGCTTATAGGGCCGATTAGGCACGAGGCCACCCTAGGGCACAAAAATGAACATGCTCAACATGAAAATTGACCTAGGGCCGAATGATATACATCAAAAATCATGGCTAATGAGGCTAGAACATTGGTCAATACATGCATGCACATATACTTAGGTTCGGGGGT